TGCCCCAACTGCTTCCACCACTGACTTGACAAGAACTACAGGAAGAATCTGCAATTGTGTCATATGCTTGATACTGTTAAGCAACTTCTCACCACAAGAAGCAACAGCATCCAAAGGAAAGAGAAACCTCTGTGTGATAAGCACAATCTTCAGCTGGACCTCTTCTGTGAAAAGGACCTGGAGCTATTGTGTCCCCGGTGCAGGATGTCCTCTCAACACCTGGATCATTACCTAATGCCCATTGACCAAGCTGCATCGAGTCACAGGAGGAAGCTCAAAGGCTACATGAAGCCTCTGAGGGAGCAAGTTGAACTTGCTGAAAATGAATCAGAAACACAGAAATTAAAGTTCATTGAGTTGATGATGAAGGTGGAAATTAAGAAAAGCTAAATTAATTTTGACTTTGAACAAGTTAATCAGTTTCTGAGTAAACAATATGATGACAAAGTTGTGAACTTAGTGATGGAAGAGAGGGGTATTAAGGAAAAACTAATTGAAAACAAAACCTTACTTTCAGGCCACATTTCCACTCTAAAACATCTGCTATCTAACATTACAGAAAAGTGTGTGAAGCCAGATTTGGAGTTGTTGACAAAGGTTGATAGCATCTATAGCAGGTATGAAAACTTAAAAACACCAACAGTATTTTCATATGAGTTTACAGAGGACAGATAGGATCTACCTATATTATACTTTAACCTCAAAAAAATGATCAGCATATTTCAAGTAGATTTGACATTTGATCCTGAAACAGCTCACACCAATCTCATCATATCAGAAGATAGAAAACATGTAAAATATGGAAAGATGCAAACAAATTCATCTTTCAATCCCAAAAGATTCACTGGTTATCCCGCTGTCCTGAGCTCTGAAGGATTTGATGCTGGAAGGCATTTCTAGAAGGTTGAAGTAAGAGGCACAAGTCATTGGGCCATAGGAGTGTGTAAAGATTCCTTTCCCCTAAATGAAAACACATTGGTGTCAACAAATGGTGGAGGCTTGTAAATTCATCAGTGGAGTAACACAGGTGGTCCATATGAGAGAGTGAAAATCGCACAGATTGGTGTTTTTCTGGATTATGAGTTGGGAGAGTTTTCAATTTATAATGTGAAGACTAAATCTCATATTTGTATATTTCATGACACCTTTACATAAAAGCTTTATCCTTATTTCTTCACTGGACGCACTTCAAGCAGTCTTACAATTTGTAAAGTCAAAGATGAATGGTGAATAACTCAAAGACGATTTATATTTCTTTTGTGTTCTGTATATTAGGTTATTATATATTCTTGTTCAAGTTTTGGTTGAATATTATTGTAAGATTTATGGTGGTTTTCTTTGTTATTCACAATAATATAGTGTGTATAATACCAGTTTCACAGAGATGACACAGGTATCATGGATAAATCTAGGAAAATTTGAAGTCATTTAAGATAAAATCACTCACATACAGAGACTGGTGGAAACCTGAGACTGTTGTCCTTGGTCACTCTTCAATTATTGAACTGGACTCACCCCTGACTCGATTTTCAACAAGCAATAATTAGATGTATAGGTGAACAGCAACTAGTGAAGTGCCTACATCATAGAATGGTCAACCATTTAAAATAAAAATGTTATTAAAGGGCAAAGGTCAGAATGGTAGGGAAAGCAATAAGTATGGGATAGGGAGTGGGATAACTGATGTTACATTAGTGCAACAGCACTCAGGGAAATGATGAGACATGTGATGACTTTTTGAATGTAAATCCGATTCTCTATTCTGTAAACTTTCATCCAATTCACAATAAATTTTAAAAAGAAAAAAAGCTGAAATGAACCATTCGTAACTTTGTCCCTTGTATGTTCAACCATATTCATGGATATATTTTCAGCAATGGTAAATACCCATGTACAAACCTCTTCCATCAAACGTATGTATATTTGTCAGTCTACTTCTCCTCTCCCTCCCACATCTGTTCAGCCTGTGCATCTATTCATCCATCTACTTCTACTGTAGAGTTGTGTATACTATTGTGGATATCTCTGTTGCATTAAAAACTTGGGCTCTTGCCCATGTCTTCTCATGCCGCCATCATTTTTGTTGCCAATATCCTTCTTATTATATATTACCTACACCTTCACTCAGGTTAATACATGCTTACGTTCGTGCCAGTGAAGTACTCTTCCATTCCCATTCCTGTAAACGATTAAAGAATGCTTCTTTTATTATGAAAAATAATTGCCTCAGATAATATCTGTCTTTATCAGATGGAATAATTTCACTCAGCAGAATGGCCTGAAAGTTCATCCATGTTATGATGTGTGTTTTGCAGATTCATCATGACTCTAAAATGTTGCATATGTTTCCATTATGAATATGCACCAAAATGTGTTGACCCAATCTTCCAATGATGGGCAGTTTAGGTTCATTCCATCTTTTTACTATTGTGAAAAATACTGGAATGAACATGGATGTACACATTTGTTCTGTGCTCTTTTTTCTCTAGCATATGTATCAAGTAGAGAAATGGCTGGGTCATAAGGTATTTCATTTCCTTCTTCTTAAGGAAATGTCATGTTATTTCCTGCTTTGACTCTGTTGGCCATTGCAGTAACAAAATTCACCTTGTCCTTGTTGATTAATTGCTGTGAGTTGGACTATACAACCACAGGCTCCAATCAGTCACATAGCACTTATGTGTCTTAAAACAATTAGCATGTTTGCTTTTGTCTAATCTAACTTACAGAAAAGAGCAATCACAGTTATATTCAAAGATGCTAGGGTTGTCTCACAAATTTCTTCTTTAACATCTTTTTAAAAGGTATTTCATCTGGGCATTCCATTCCATAGGCATAACCTATGAATGTCCACATTAGATGTATCATCTAGGGGTGTAACCTGAAAAATCGACTCCGTACCAATTTCCATAAGCCTTTACATACCTTCTGCAGTATACAAAGGCAGGTCTGGTACTTCAACTGGATTTAGTGCATTTCCAACCACAGATCCTTCCTCTTAGCTTACAACTTTAGCATTCGAATCACCTGTAATTCTGATGGCATATTGTACCAATTTCATACTGAAGAAGTTGATAGAATTCTTCAGTTTCATCATCACTGGTTTTAGTGACTGGTGTGTAAAGTTGAATAATATTGGTATTAATGGATTTTCTTTTTAAGCTTATTCATATTATCCTATCACAAACAGCATTGTACTTCAAGACAGGTCTTGAAATGTTACTTTTGATGACGAATGTAATGCGATTCCTTTTTCTGATGTAGAACTAATAATGGTTGTCTTATTCAAAATAGCTTCTGTCAATCATTTGAGCTCACATCCTAGGGTACTAATTTTAATGCATTGCATTGCATTTCTGATAATTTACAATTTTCCTGGATTCATAGTACTTACATTCCACGTCCTGATTACTAATTAATGTTTGCAGTTGTTTCTTCTAATTTTGAGTTGTGTTCCATCAGTAAATGAAAGTTTTAAAATTGTTACTCTATTCATATCATCAAGGTCAATTCTACTTTGAGGAGGGAGTTCTTACCCAGTCATATTTTTAATGCCTGCAACTTCAGGGGCTCATGTTCTGACTCTATATCTGACTCTATATCTGATAGTGTTTTCCTTAGCTAAACACTGTAAACTTTCTCGCTCTCTCTCTAGAAACTTTTAAAGTTCTTTATCTGTATTGTTTTGTTTCAGTGATATCTGCAGTAATATGGATCTATTGTCATATTAGATATTTCATCTACCCACCTTTTGTCCTTATGTTCTGGATTTGTATGGGTTGTTGCTGTTAGGTGTTGTCAAGTTGGTTTCACTCAACTCTATGAACAGCACATAAAACACTGTCCAGTCCTACACCATTTTCAAAATGATTGTTATGTTTGAGCCCATTGTTCCTGCCACTGTATCAACCCATCTTGTTGGAGATCTTCCTCTTTTTCACTGACCCTTCATTTCACAAAGCATGGCTTTTTGTTTTCCTCTAAGAACTGGTCCCTCCTAATACCATGTCTAAAATAACAAACACAAGATTTTTCATTCATTCTCCTAAGGAGCATTCTTGCTGTATTTCTCCCAGTGCAAATTTGTTGATTTTTCTGGCAGTTCATGGTACTTTCAGTATTCTTTGCCAATATCATAATTCAATTGCATCAATTCTTCTATAGTTTTTCTTATTCATTGTCCAACTTTCACATGCATATGAGGCTTGGGTCAGGTAAGCCTTAGTCCTCAAACTGATATTTTTGTTCTTGAACAATTGAAAGCAGCAGATTTTCCTAACAAAGATCAGATGGATGTTTGCTAAAAGCAGAGAATACCAGAAATGTATTTACTTGTGCTTTCTTGATTATGTGAAGACATTCAACTGGGTGGATCACAACAAACCAGAGATAACATTATGAAGAATGAGTAATTTGAACATTTAATTGTGTTCATAAGGAACCTGTACATAGACCAAGAAACAGTCAAACAGAAATAGGGCATAGTGAATGATCAAAATCAAGAAAGGTGTGTGTCAGGGCTGTATTCTTTCACCATATTTATATAATCTTTATTCTGAGCTAATCCAGCAAGTTGAATTATATGAAGAAGAACATGGCCTCAGGATTGGAGGAGGACAAATTTACAACCTGCAATATGCAGTTGACACAACCTTGCTTATAGGAAGTGGAGAGAATTAAGTTAATAACTGATAAAAATCAAAGACTACAGCCTTCAGTATTGATTGTACCTTAATGCAAAGAAAACAAAAACTCTCACAACTGGATCTATAAATAAAAAATTGATAAATGGAAAAAATATTAAATTTGTCAAAGACATCAAGTTGCTCGTTTTCATCATCAATGGTCATGCAAGCAGCAGTCAAGAAATCAATCAACATATTGCATTAAGCAAATGTGTTGTAAAAGACATCGTTAAATGGTTCAAGGGCAAAGCTGTCCTTCTGAGGACTAAGGTGGACCTGGCCCAAACCATGATATTTTCAATCACCTCATATGGATGTGAAAGATGCACAATGACTAAGAAAGACCAACAAAGAATCAATGCATTTCAATTTTGGTGTGACAGAGAAATTGAAAGTACTTTGGAATGGAAGAAGCATCAACACAGATTTGATGGAAGAAGTATAGCCAGAGTGTGCCTTAGAATCGAGGATGTCAAAACTTCATTCTCATATTTTGGACATGTTTTCTGGAGGGATCAGTCCCTGGAGAAATGCTCATGCTATGAAAAGTGGAGGGTAAGCAAAAAATTAAAAAGAGGAGGATCCTTAATGAGATGGATTGACATAGTGACAGCCACAATGGGTTCAAATGTACCAAAAATTGTGAGGATCGAGCAAGCAATATTTATTGGTGACTGTTGTTGTTAGGTGCCATTGAGTCGGTAC